CACAGTGTGGCTCTTGTCTGTAGGGCTAAATTCTCCTTTCCTCTGGAAGGGAGTGACCTGGTCCGTGTGCCTGTGGGGAACGGCCTGTAGCTCCCCTGCACCTTGCTTAGGTCCCGCCTAGGAGAGTGCAAGTTCATGTGAGCTTGGTACGGGCCAGGGCAGTCTCGAGGGACACGTGCGCAGCTGAGCAGTTGGGCCCTGGCCTCGTTTAGCTTATTAAAAACACTGTAGCCAATAATGCTCATACCCCGACTCAGAATTGACTATACTATTGGACACAAACTGGGAAGAGAGAGGAATGATTTTATTTTGTTTAAACCTGGGCCAGGACACTTGGCTTGGACTTGGACTGCATCAGGAATCTGCTAGGATCCCTGTCTCTTCAGCTGGCTGCCGATGCCACTAGGAAATAAAGTTTTTTTGCCAAAAAAGTTGTACCAAGGTTTCAGCTATCACGTTTACAACTGCAAGAGATCATATTCAATCAAAGTCCTTTTCAGAGGGGAGCAATATTTTGAATGTTTGCTCCTACCAATGCTGCATTTAGCATCCTTGAAGCAAGACCTTGCAAGGAACGGCCTGCTATAAACTGCAGATGCAAAGGTGGAAGAAAGCCAAAGAGTTGTTGACTCTTTTAGTATCGCAGAGGAAGGAATTGTTGTAAAGATTGGACTATGGAGATTTCATCAGGTGTTTTCTGAGAGCTGTGGTACCTTCAGAATTAGCTCCAAATGTTTATTTTGCTTCAACAAAAGCTGAATCTGATAAAAACTGCATCAAGAAGGGTGAAAGAAAAACCCAAATTTCTAATGTAAGGCCAGAGATTCTGCAGCCGGTGCACTTCCTCTCTCTTTATCAAAAGCCACTGACAGACAACAGATTCATATTAGCTTTACCTGTCAGGTGCTCCTGGGGTTGTTCTTAAGCACATGGCACTGAACAGTTGTAGTTCCATCATGCTTGGGAAGGCAGAGACAGTGCGAGAACATAGTCATCAGCATTATCAGTTTTTCTTTCTTTCTCATCATTTGATGTTCTGAGCATCAGATTTAGAGCACCTTTTGAAAGATACAGGTCCAAACCTACTTCCTTTTTACCATAGAGATAAAGTGGCTGTCATATACTGTGTTGTTTGTCTTTGATTTAATTCTCTCTGGGATCTTAAAAAGTGTTTTGACACCTTGCCTTTAGCTAAAGCTTTCCAGGGACCTACTATTTCCATGCGTGTTGTGTGCTGGTAGTTGAGCTCCTTGGCATCAATGTTCCCATGTTGTATGTATTTGAGTTAGATCGCAGTTGCAAATGGAAAGCACTTTGTAAATGTCCTCTTGCTCTCCTTAGTCATATAACCACCTTTACAAAGATACTTCTGAATGATTCCCTGACTTCCAGAATACTCCCACAGGGCAGAAGCAACAAAAACATGCACAACGTTTTTTTTTCCTCTTGATGTAACAAATGATAAAAGGCAGTTTGTAAAGTCAATGCTCTGTAAGGTGCATCTTTTCTGGCAGGATGCTGAGGTCGAATATCAGGATACATACAGTGATAACAATGTACAGAAGAGTTTTTCCTTTTAGTAGAAGTACCTTTAAAAATATAAGGGATTTCTTGTTGTTTTTCTGTAGTGGAACTTACTTTTGGTATTTTTGGTGTTTAATTTTATATTCCTTATTTTATTGAATTCTTTTTTTAGTAGCGTATTTTTAACACCTGCATGCAACTAAATTCTGATATTTTGCCTAGTGTACTGTGAATATAGAAAGATGTAAATACTAGAAGATCCATCAAAATCACTGGAAGTTTTGCCATTGCTATAAGTAGGTCAAGGTTTTATTTCTGATTTCTAGCTATAAGGATTGCTCTCTGCACATCTCCTTGGTGATATTTAAACACATTGCATTCTTGTGGAATGGTAGTTGTTGCTTATTTGCAATGGCGAAGACTGTATTATCTTTCCCCTCCCTTTCCATTGCCTTTTTCAGATCTGAAAATTTCAATACTATTGCGCCCTAAATTTTGCATTGTTTTGCTGAGGTGACATGGTGACCGTAACAAGGGTGACCCTCCTCTCGGAGGGCTCCCAGTGCTACCTCCCATGTTGTGTTTTCCTTCGTGCCTCTTCTGCTGTTGCCAGATAAAGTTCTATACTCCTTTATCGTCCCCTATCACTTCCCTGGTTTGTCCAGTCATTTGTGACTGTTTGGAGCTTTGGTACCCACTGCACTGCCCGGTGACTCTTGCGGCCCCTGCTCACCACCTATTCTGCCACCTTGCCCAGAGCCGTCACCAGCGCCCACGTCAGGCTGCTGGTGTCCGTGATGAGGAGAACCGGAGGCCGTGAGCCCAACCTCGTGTGCGCTGACATCCCGACTTAACACGTTGCAGCAGAAGAAAAACCAAGTCTGCAGCAGAAGGTGCTTGGGAGTAGTGGCTAACCAGGCTGAAGAGTAATGCCTGTGCTGCCAAAAAAGTATTAGATAATTAGAGATAAATGGAGAAGTAGTTCACTTTTTGTTGGTTTATCACACAATTATGGCTCCGTTCAACACCAAAGAGGAATATTTACTTAGGTCCTATTTCAGGGAGTGTTTTATAAAGCTGGAAGTCAGACTGCGTGGTAGGTGCTGTCTAAGTAGAGCTGGGATAGAAACTCTTCATGCCTGAAAAAGATCGAAATGTCAATACTTCAGTTCTGCACCAACATCTTGTGAAGGGTTTTGTGAAAGGCCAGGGGGCTGCCAGAGGGATAAGCAGGAATTTTTGTCAACAGGTTGATAGAAAGGGCATTTGGGCATAAGCGTTTTGTCTAGTTTTTCACCCATGCAGGCTGCAAACTGGTGTATTTGTTTGGCTCACTGATCACAAATATCGAGAATTTAAATGGGAAAAATCTGATTGTGCTGCCCATATCCTAGCCCCGTTTAATTTACTCCTAATGACTTAACACATAATTCTGTCTTAGCTGGTGACACCCAGCTTTATTTGCTATTTTGGGGCCAAATCTACTGAAACCAACAGGGATAGCAGCTTTGATGATAGAGTGATGAGCCAGAAAGAGACAGAGTAGCCAGAGAGCACATTTACTGCCGCTGGAGGAAAGCGTTGTAAATAACATGCTGAGCAAACAGCTTTACCTGGCACAGAGCTCTAAGTTCAGCTCCGTGGAGTTCCCCGTAGTACTTGGCAGGCACCTTTTTGTAGGGCTGGCCCTTTATCCTGCTACACATAAATACGAGATGAAACCCATTGCCAAACAGCAACAGGGACTGGCGGCCAGGCAGGTTATTGGCACCGTTTGTTTTGAAGGCAGGTCAGCAACATACTTTCTTTGTGCAGTGGTTTCGGTGGTACTTTATAAATATCACCTAGGTAAACAATGCAGGAGAGGTAGAATTTTCTACCATCTTCATTCCGTCTTTTTCCTCCGTGATTGTTTTATTTAAAATATAAACAATTCTGAGGGTGAAGTAGATGGAGAAGGAGCAAACAGGAGAAGGGAGTTGTTTCCTTTTTGATGGCTTTAACTATTTACACTATCAGTGTGGGCTTGTTCATTTTTCTTGACTGTGATGGATTTAATATTCATTAACTGTATTGTAGATCCTTCCTGTAGGACTAGGATTCTAGTTATACAAATATATGCAATATGTATAAAATATACCTGCATTCACCTGCATGTACAAATTATAAAATAGAAGGAAAAAAAAACGCAAAAAACTCTATGCTTAGTCCTGAAGTTTCAGATTTTTTTTTTTTCCAAGGGAAGAGCTGTAAATTCCAAAGATACATCCACTGCTGGGTAGAGCGTGGAAGGATCCGACATTTTATTTCCTACTTCGAGTTTCTGGGGAAATGCATTTCCCTGCCAGCGTAACATTGTTTAACAAAACTCCCGCGGGCCAGAGCCTGCACCCCGCTGTGACAGCCCCTTCCGTGTGTCCAAGGGATTGTTAGGGCGCAATATCAATCTGACGGGAACATGCCCGCTAATTGCTTGGGGAGCGGGATATAGACAATGCTGTCCTGTGGCAGCCTCTGCAGATAGGCCTCGTCGGAGGGTTAATTCTGCTTGACAGCACATCAGCAGCATCTCGAGAGTAATTACCCAACTTAAGTTTTCCCACAGTTGAATTGAGATCTTCAAAGGCTTCTACATTTACAAGTATTATTAACCTATATCTGAAACATGATGTTCCCACAAGGGCTAATTTTTTCTTCCCTTTATTAAATATACAGGTTATAGGGTTCATTTGCTAAGTGCTAAGCCCTTAGAAGAAAACACTACTTGTTAGAGAGGGAAAAATCTGCAGTGCACGACCAAAGCTAATGGTGCATAATGCACACATCATTGTCTTTTTGCACAGGCTTTAAAACAAGTTAAAATTTAGGTCTGGCTCCTTTCCTCTCTCCCTCTTTTCCACCTCCCTTTACCTTTTTCCACTTTTAAGAAAATCAATCCACGCATTCATATGTACCGAGTGAGTATATTAAAGAGACACACAAACAAAACCCTTGCAGGATGTCGTTCAGTTAAGTACAGATCACTGGATACAATACATATGATATAAATTAAATGGTGTCTGCTTCAAAAATAGGTTGGAAACATTCCTGAATAAATTCAATTCTGCTAATGCATTTTCAAAAATTAAAATGAATTTATTTCAGCATTTCAGCATTTATTTCATCTGAACAATTGTTGTGATTTACAGTATGTAACTTAATGCTGTTTTAAAATTTATATTCTATTTTCTGGATGTGTTTGGTGATTAGTCTTTTAAAAATGTTTTCTGTAGAGGTACTTTGTAAGAAAATCAAAATGTCAAAGATAATACGTATTACCAAGGATCAAATATCCTTGAATATATCAAATATTGACACGCACAGGGAAACTATCTTATTTAATAAAATATTTGCAGGGTGGGAGGTCAATCTGTCAAATGACTTATTTAGCGTAAAGCATTTCTTGTAACTTACGATCTTTTTATTTTCCTTTGCAGGTCAGAAACGAAGTTTGACTCCAATTCAGGTATGTTTAGATTTTCAGTGTTTTGCTGAATGTATGCTACTCAGGTTAATCTCAGAAGAGTAGTTTATCAGTTCAAGTTCAATTTAATTTTAAACAGACTGGGGTAGGTCAGTCTTAGGAAGGATCTTCACTTATCACGATCTAAAAACGGCATTATTAGTGCTGAAACTTTGCTTTCCTTCCCCTCATTAGTTTCTGTCTTCTTACTTTTTTTCCCAGAAGATGATCCGGAAGATGTATCTTGTGACAGGCTTTAACTGATCCAAAAAAACTATTGTCCAAATAAATGATAATGCAAACTAAAGCAAATGGAGGATTGGAGTAAAGTTTGAGAATGATCACTGCCTCAGAGAAGAATATTCTTCTTCCTGGTAGACAAAGGGTTTTCATGGGAATTTGAAGTCAGTGCAGCCTATCTGTCAGGAAGCAGGTGATTTGTCATCAAATTTTCATGACAGATGCATGTACACAATGCATGCCAGACTCGTCTGCAGTGCTCTCTCTAGGAGGTTTACCAAAAGGCGATCTCTCTCAAGTTGTCTTTTTAAAGAATTTTAATGTGTTGTAGGGATTGGGAGGGAAGTGAAGGTCAGTTTAACAAGTTAATGTGTATCTTACAAGACAGAAAACACAGGACAGCAAACAAGGAAACAGTTGGGGAAAAGCAGAGGTCCTAATGCCAGACTGTTTCTTGCTCAGTTAACTGTTCTTGGGTGTTCCTTTAAGTTAAACAATAGTACATTAAGAATAGCCTGTCATGCTGAAACCAGCTGACATGTCCATTGGCTGAAAAGGTCATTCAAAATAAATTTTGTGTTAGGATGGAAAGACTATTTTAATCAGCAAACCTGATATTGTTATGACAATCTTTTACTTTGGGCAATGTTATCTTTGTATGATTTCCTTAATACGATGATTGTGATGGCTTAGAACGATATGCATTTTAAAATATATATTAATCATAGCATTTATGCAAGAGTAAGTTTCCTTTTATCCCAGTTACAACATGATTTGAGTTTGCATTGTGAGATATTTTTCTTTCCTCTTATTCCACAGTAGATTTTATCTTTGGAGTTATATGGGAGTGAAACCTACAGCAGGAAGCATTTATAGAAATCCTTTTTCTTGTATACTTGAGTCATCTTGCTTCTATTGTGATTTTAATCTGTGATTTTGAGGTTACTCATTTTAAATATTACTTGAATGAACTATATGCTAAGGTTGCTTCTTAGATCTTGTCAACACGGTTTTACAAGGGGAGAAGAACTTCACACAGATTTGGCCACCACGCTGCTCTTTTTTTTTTTTTTTTCCTTTTTTTAATACAGTTGCCAGAACTGTGGTACGGAGATGTGAAACAGCTCACTTTTCTGTTGAGATGAGAATGTTCCATTTGCTCTGTGGATTATGCTACAGTCGGAGGCTCTTGTTTTCTGACTTTTTTCTTTGAAGCAGCCCTCCAGCTACGTGCCATATTCTGCCTGCCAATCTCCGGAGGTGACAAGCTTGGCAGGGGAGGCAGGGCTGTATTTCCTAGGAAGTGAACAGCATCTATAAAACTTTTGCACAGTCGTTTTTGGCACCATCAGAGCTAAGACAAACCCCTGCTCAGTAGATGTCACCAGACCTCTGTGATCTGATTTTGTAGGTCAAATATGGGCTTTAAATTTTTTTCCATCTTCTTTCCTTGAGCTCCTGTGGGCTGTCTCATGAAGAGATGCTGGAGAACCCAAATACTGCAGGGACAGAGTTCCTCTGCCTGCCTTCCCTGAGGGTGCTCACTAGCATGATTCCTACAGGGCCTTATGACCCTGGCCTTAAGAACACTTGTTATCACAATTTTGCCTCCCTGTGAGCACAGAGCTCATAGAAGTTGTAATGAGATTTGAAAGTAAAGACTACTTATGGTAGGACACATACACACACACACAAAATATATATAAATCTAAAGGAGAATGAAAGAGACGGAATCTTCTCTATCTCCACTCTTTTTTGCTACTCCTAAATGTTCTCTGGACTTGCATCAGAATTCTCTGCAGCGTGTGATTAACTAACTGTGTTTTGCTGTGTCAACACCAGGCACCATGAATGTCAAGAGGAGTTTTCATCCTTGTGCTTTCCACTTCAAAGTGCTTTGTATACCACCACTGATGCAGTGTGGGAATGTCTGGGGCTGAGGAATTTCGTAGATTTATTCCTGTATTTTTTTTCCATCTTCGCTTTTTGATCACTTTCCCCTAAATCCTGGAAAAAGTTCTTGGTTTGAATAGTTTCATTCTTTCCTATCAGGGGACCCTGGCCCTGGCCACCTCTGCAAGGTGTTACCCTCTCTGGTGATCCGTCCTGAATCACTGGTGCTTGTGCCTGTGTGGGACCAGGTTGTGACAGGTTGTGCTGGTCTGGCTTTGCTCTTTGCCCCCAGAATGTTGTATTTGGACCAAAGCATTTCTGAGGTTTAGCAATCTGTCATTATCAGTTTTCTCTTACACCTTTGCATCTCACATCCAAAGATAGTTGTTAAAACATAGTAGCAAAAACAGATAGAACATGTGCTTAAAATAGCATTTTAACAAAGGGAAATCACAGAAAGTTCATAACCTAGAACTGCAGTTGTGGCCAGAGACTCTAAGAATGAAATAAACAAACAAACAAAACCCAGCATTATCTTTGTACAGAAACCTTCCCTTTATGGTTCAGTTATCCCACTAAGAAGCAATTTTTGATAGATTAGCAGTGTGAGCACTTAGAGTTTGTAGCTTGTTTCTGATAGATTTCAGGCAAGAGCAGTGTGCTGCAACACAGATAAAGTCAACACATGTCACCCAGCTTAACTTTTCACACAGTTGAATTGATCCCCATTTATCATATCATTTTCTTCGTTTCTCCACCAAAAAACTTGCCATCCCCTTTCCAGATTTAACCAAAACCAGGCGACAAGCCCAACTTCCCTTCTACTGATCCTGAGTGAGCAAGTCTATAGATCCGTGGCTCAAAACTGGAGAAAAGTTTGGCAAGCAAGCTGCGAGTGTCTTTTCAGGCAGATATGCTGGGTTATGAACTGCATTTGTAAAAGTTTCTGAAGGTTAGTCTGGAAATCTGTTGCATTGAAATTATTTTGATTGCCAAAAACTAGAAAACAGGTATGTTTTTGTCTTTATTTTGAAATTTGTGGATGTTCCTGTGTGAATGTATATATGTATGTATAGGCACACACACCATACATATGTATGTATATGTATGTATATATATACACACATGTACATGCTCACACACACACATGTGTGTGTGTATATATGTATATATTTATATATTTATATAGATATATCAGCAGCACCAGCATATAGGTGCATGACATATGACCGCAGGACTATTGTGTTGGCTGCTTTTTCTTCCTCTCGTTTTCTGTACTTTTCAGTTCATAATGGGAAGATGTTCATGTCCAACTGTACATGGAGTTGTCTTTCAATTACAGGGTAAATACTGTCATATTGGAAAAAACCTGTTGCGTTCTAGTTTAGCTCATGCTGCTCAAAGCAGTTCAAGGTAACTGTTAAACCTCAGAATGAGATAATTTTATTCTAGAATGGTTATGTTCATGTAGGGATCTATTCTAGAATCTGTCCTGTGTTCTGAATTCACCCCTAATGTTAATTCCAGGTAGCCTGCAAGTCTAGACGTGGCCTTATTAAGCATTTCTCAATAGTTACGGCCCTTGATGTTCCTAGAAGTATGCGTGAAATATTGAAAAATTAAAAAAGTCCTTTTGAAGCAAGTATGAAGTCTGGAATATAGCTTTAAAAGTGCCCAGTAGGCTCACTGTAAATGAAAAAAAAAAAGGAAATATTGCTCAACACTGAAATATTAGGCAAACATTGTCAAAAGAAGATTAATTTGAACTTGAGCATTAACTTAAAAGAAGGCTGTAAAATTCCCATATTGATGATTGGGATTTATCATATAAATAGCTATAACATCTGTAGGGGACACAAATTCTTCACATCATGACTAACCGTTCTGTCTGAGAAACTTTTTCTCTGCTGATTCTTTATACACCCATAGCTGGCAGAATTTCTTTCTCAAAGACCATGGGGTTAGCTTCATGCTGTTAGAGGATCTTATGAAATGAAACAATTTTGGTTCTCTGTCATAATATGATGAATTTCACTAGTACTGAAAGTAAAGTTAAAAAAATACTCAGAAGCAAAAAAAATATTGTAAGGAAGAGATATACTTTTTAAAGATTTTCAGGGAATTTGTTGTGGAACAAGCAGACCATGAGAACCAAAATGAAAACAACTTACTTCTAATTAGTAGTATTTTGATATTATCTAAAATGTGTGTAGTATATATGCTTGGTTAGATTTTGGGAAGCTTGGGTTTGCTGTTGATACAGAGCAATAGCAGGCTGATGGAAGTGAGTTTAAGCATGTGAGAATTGTACTGATTTACCAGTATAAGAAGAACTTTTTAATAAAGAGAAAAATGGGTCATGATAACCATAATTCCATTTGATAACATTCAGAACTTATCAATATCAAAAACTGCCACTGAACTTTGTTAAACCCAGTTTAGGAATAGAAATTAAGCACAAGAAGTTAAAATGATTTTCTCATCATGAATATTGGCAATGAGTTTCCTACTGCCTACAGGGAAGGCTGGAGTTTTCATGGGGAACGTGCTATAGTATTTGATATATCATGCATGTTACTGGGGAGGCATGCCATGTGATCTACAAGTGATAGTGCAGGCAGTGCGACTGTGAAGGGGGAGAAATTTGAGCTTGGTTTTGTATGAAAAGGAGGGGATAAATCCCCAGACAATAACCCTTGGACTCCAGTGGAGTCTCTATTGTGATTGTGTCATTCAGATGGCAGCCCAGAGGAAGTCAGGGACTGCAGGGTGTCACAAGTGGGAGCCATGGAAGCCCCGTGTTGGGGAAACGCAGCTCTGCCCTGGGAGAGCAGAGTCCCAGCATCTCCAGCTGTGTTTGTCACTGTTTG